GCTCCGAAACGGCTTTTCTTGTGGCGTCCCGGAGCGTGCTGTGGCTCTCCGGGTGCCTGTGCTTGGCGGCTGGGGCTTGTTGCCCTCTGCGTCAGTGAGGCGGGGGCCCACAGCCCTGGGGAGAGGGGACTCTTCCCGGAGCCCCGGGCTGAGCCGTGCTCCTCGCCCCTTCCGAGGCGGGGGAGACGCTCTGTGTAGCTTTGGTTGTCTCGCATTAGTCTTGCCTCTCTGCCTGGGCAGAGCAAGCTGGTGTTGCAGTTGCCAAGGAGGCCTCTTTAGGTGGACTCTGTTGCCCCGGACCTCACCCTGCCCTGTGGCCCCCGAGTTTCGATTCCTGCAGGTCGGGGATGGAGGAAGCGTGTGGCCTGCCTGGGGCGGGAGGGCGCAGCCCGGTTATGAGCAGACCTTGCTCGGGCAGTGGTTTGATGAACAGCTTCCTCCTGCCAGGGCCAGCTCTGCTGTGGGAGCCTTGGCTGGAAAAATCCCCCTCCTGAGGGGCAAAGCACTTCCCTACCCCAAAAACTGTGCTGGTGGCTCCAGACCCCTTGGCTGTCAAGCCTTAACTGCGGATGGGGTGAGGCGACAGCTTCCTGCAGCGCTGGCGAGGCCCTGGCTACTGAAAACAAGCTGGTGGCTCAGCCCTGCTATGCAGATATTGCAAAATGTTTTTTTGGTGGTTTTTTTTTTTTTTTTTTGAATGTTGGGGTTTTTCAGGCTTGAAATGATTGCTCAAGAATAGTGACAAACCATTTAAAAAGGAAAAAAAGACTTCTTCACACAGCAAGTAGTCAGGTTATTTTTAGCTTTAAGGGGCCATAATCATACACGGAAGCCGCAGAGCTCCGATAATGCCCGGCTCGGTGCCGATAAACCCGGGGCTTCCTCTTCCTCTCCAGCGAGGGCTTTTCACAGAAGCCGGCTTAGACTTCTCTGAATCTTTTTGTGTAAATAAGAGGGTGTGGGCGGGGAATTAAAGCAGCCGCTATGTCTGATGGTGTGGGGGGGTGGTTGCAGGTTAGGGGCCTCTTCAGCACCCGGCCTGGCTGATCTGGGGTCCCCTGGGACTCCTAGGAAAGAGGGCGGGTGGGTGTTTCTCGCCGCCGGCCAGGCTTTTGGGTGCTGCCCCGTGGTGCGAGGGGAAGTGTTGGAAAAGCAGCACCCTCCCCTCCCGCTGCCTCCTCTGCACCAAACGGGGCTGAACCAGACATTGCTCGTGGGTGGAGGGGGGCACATGCAAATACAGAAAATCCCCTGGCTGGGCAAAAAAAAAAACCTAATTCCTGCCCGTTTCTGGCTCGGTGGCCCCAGTCCTGTGTTGGGGGCTCGGATAATATTTCATGTTATTTCTCGTGACAGGAGCCTGAGCTGCTCTTGCCCCAAATGTGTCCCTTTATTCTCCAGGGGGGTTCCAGGAGGTTGGGGGGCTGCTCCGGGGCTGCCCCCCTATCTTGCTGGCACAGCGCTTCCCCTTGCAACCTGCCCTGGGGGGGGGACACTGCCCCCCTCCCGCATCTGTGGGGCAGGGTGGTGAAGCCCCCTCCCAGAGCCGGTGTCTTGGGGGGGGGGCGG